CTCACTTGGTAGCCCAGGCTGGCCTCGAACTCACAGAGATCCGCCTGGCTCTGCCTCCCGAGTGATTAAAGGCGTGCGCCACCACCGCCCGGCATTCTTTTTGGTTTTTTGAGACAGAGTTTCTCTGTGTAGTTTTGGTGCCTGTTCTGGGATCCCACTCTGTAGGCCAGGCTGGCCTTGAACTCACAGAGATCCACCTGGCTCTGTCTCCCAAATGCTGGGATTAAAGGCATGCACCACCACTCAGCTCCTTTTTTCTTAAAGATAGTCTCTCACTGTCTGTCCTAAAACTTGCTATGTAAACCAGGCTGGCCTCCAACTCCCAGAGATATGCCCACCCCCACTTCCTGAGTGCCGGGGTTAAAGGCCTGTGCCACCATGCCGGGCTTGCTGATCATATTTTGTGGGATATGCTTAGAGATAACAAAGTCCATCTGAGTATCACTGGCTGTCTGGTTTATTTGTCCAAGGCCTGTGTTTTTCCAACCTCATTTTGAACCCACCTTCTCTGCCCTATTGCCAGGTTCTCAGCCCTGGCTCTGTCGGCATTTTGAGTATCAGGTTCCATGCATTTTAGGGTGTGTGATTGCATATCCTGGCCTGTAGCAGACAGATGCCATTACCAGCTCCCCGTACCCCCCAAGTCGTGACAACCAAATGTATCTCTAGACATTGCTTGTCCTGCTGTGACTAGCATGTCAGCAGGCACACCTGACTGCCTTTGTTCCTCCAGGTTCTTTTGACTTGAAATAAATGCCGCTACTGTTGTGTTCTGGTAGATGTTACTTCTCTTTCCAGATGCCACTTCATGATGATAATGGTAGCTAAGTTGGCCGGGACTGTGTGGTTTTGCATGGTTTCTCCCCTTCCCTTCCCCCTTCCTACCCCAGTGCTAAGTATTGAACCCCCAGCAGGTCACATTCCCTTTGTGTTGCTGTGGCTGAGGGCTGCTCCCCTGTGTCTGCTGAATGCAGCTCACAGGTAACCCATTTGCTGCTTTGTTAGCCATTTGGCTGTGGATAAGATCGACTGTTCCCCTGGAGATGCCATTATCACCACCCTGGCTTATTTTCCCACTTAAAAGTTAAATAGGCGCCAGGATCTGTAACAAATACAGAGTGCTTTCTATTTCTGCTGCAGCTTCCAGAATTCCCAAATATAAGCACCTCACCCCTCCTACCCCCCTTTAACATCAAAAGTTCTGTGAAGAAGGTGGGGGACAGAGAGATGGTTTAAGCAGTTAAGAACACTGGCTGCTCCTCCAGAAGACTACAGTTTGATTCCCAGCAGCTGCATGGTGGCTCACAACTGTCTATAACCACCAGTAGCAGAAGATCTGATGCCCTCTTCTGACCTCCCCAGGTGCTGCACACATGTGGCGCACGGACATACATGCAGGCAGAACACCCCTACACATAAAATAAATCTTTGTTTTCAAAAGAAGTTTCATGAGTTGGGTGTTGTGGCTCATGTCTATAATGCTAACACCCACAGGCAGAGGCCGGGTAAATAACTTCAAGTTTGAGTCTGGCCTAGGTTTCATAGCAAGTTCCAGGGCAGACCCTGTTTCAAATATCAAACAGCAGAAATTTCATGATATTCCTCAACTTAGTGTTAGTTATATTATTGAAAAGTAATTGATGGCCGGGTTTAGTGGCAAATCCTTTTAATTCTAGCACCCAGGAGGAGGCAGAGGCAGGAGGATATTCATGAGTTTGAGGCCACCCTGGTCTACATAGTGAGTTCCAAGCCAGTCAGAGTTACAGAGCAAGACCCTGTCTCAAAAAAGGGGGGGGGGCTTTTTATTATTATTATTGTTGTTATTATTATTATTATTATTTTACCCTATGTAACATTCACACATATTTGAAAAATAATGGGCAGTGTGTGTTCAAGCCATATCATGGATTCTACATACTAATGATGCTTGTGGACTCATGAAATCTGCATTATTCTGTGGGATGGAGATGGGGGCAGGGCAAAAAGGAGCAACTGCTGACCTGTACCTCTGCTGTTTCCCTGTACATCTCAGCTAATGACTCTGCTCTGTGCTTTCTCTGTGCATCTTTTATGGCCTTCTGGGATACTTGGTACTTTAGATCTGAGTGCCTCTTGCCATCTATAGACTTTAATTCATTATCTAAGCACTTAGCCGGACTTGTGTCTCATATGCTCTTGAAGATGCTTGTGGTTAAGTTCAAAATTCCTGTGGACCAGACCAACACGTGTCTTCTCAGAACCTGGATAAATATTTTATGGGTGTGCTCAGAGCAGGGGGCCCAGAGAATGGCTTCTCTGTTTACAACACACCCAAGAAGAATCTGGGGCCACTGTAATGAGGGCACAGCACTGTGTCCTCTCCATGAGCAGATCCCCCACATGCTTCTCCCCTATTCATCCACATGGCTTCCAGGCAACACCAGTGGGACAGGAGTCATTAGTAGGAAAAATGCTTCCCCAGTATTTAGTTGGGGAGGTGGTGGTCTAGAGCAGAGTCGATTCATGTGTGAGTTGTCCATGGGTGGTCTCAGGAATAGAGACCGAACATGAGTTCTCGCCTTTCACTGCATAGGTCCCCAGGCCTGGCCTTTACCTCCTGAGCTATCTTGCCATCCCCGAACCTTTCTTGTGGTGGCCCACAGAGGCTTCCTAGTGAGACCTTCCTTGGGGTCAGGGCGTCTGAGTTTGCTTTACCCAGCAGGGCTGCCTAAGGAGATGGTTTGGCCATGAGTGTGTTTACCAGGTGTTTGGAAGGGTCTACACTTGGCTGTACAGTGTGCTTTGATCTTGCAAGAGGGAGGTCTTTTGCCTCTCCCCTTGGCATATTATAAAAAGCCCTTTAGAATAAAGCTCTGGGTGGCAGGGTATTGACCCAGTGCCCTCCCGAAGCTATCCTATGTCTCTGTCTTTCTCCTCGTTGTCATCTAGGTCTATCTTTCTACCTAATATTTCCTCATTCCTCTCTTCTCCATCCAAGAACCCTTCAAAAGGTGGGAGCAGGTCTGAGCTAGTCTCCGGTAGATTCCCACAAGTGTGGGGGAGCTAAAGGTACTTGCCAACAAGCCTGAGGACCTGAGTTCAATCCCTGGGACCCACAAGGTGGAAGAGAGAACTGATTCCTGAAAAGTTGTCCTCTGACTCCCACACGTGCACTGTGGCATGCATAAGTATCTTACCCCCCCCACACTAAATGTAATAAAAAATAAACAGATGTGTATTTCTGTAATACTTTTAGTTTGATTTCATAAATTCGATGCGTGCTGTTTCTGTCTTGCTTCATTGTCAGGGAGTGAGTGAGATGTGGATGACTAGAAATTGGTCCTGACAGGCTGAGTGATGCGCTCTGAGTGGAGCAGCAGAGACTCATTTTGAGCAGAGGTGTGTGTGATTCATCACACCAAGACAGGAACCCAGAGGCTGAGCTGGGAAGGCAGCCAGGGGCGCTTGTTCTTGCCTGTGCTCGGGAAGGAGGCTCAGGTACTGCTCAGTTTGAGAGTCTGGGCAGTGCTTAGGCAGGTTCTGACTGCCTGTCAGACAGCTGATGGCCTGTCAGATAGGAAGAGACTTGTCTGGCACAGTGTCGGAAGATGAATTTCAGTCGCCAAAAGAACTTCCTTTCTTTCTGAATTGAGATGTTTTAGATTTATCTTTAATTTCACATATTTACGGGAGTGTGGATATGTTTTTGTACCTGTGAGGGCGTCAGATCCCCCTGGAGCTGGAGTTACAGGCAGGTGTGAGCTGCAGTGTGGATGCTGAGGACCAAACGAGGACCTCTGGAAGAGCAGTGGGTGCTCTTCACCACTGAGCCATCTCTCCAGCCCTAGTTATTTTTGAGACAAGGCCTCACAATATGGCCCCTTCTGGCTTTGAACTTGCAGAGATCTGCCTCCCAAGTACTGAGACTAAAGATGTGTCACCACCTTGCCTGGTGAGACAGTTTTCTAAAAGACCTTTCTTAAAGAAGGTTTTTTTGGAGCATTCTACCCCAAACTGGAATTACAGGCATGTACAGCCATGACCTGCTTACTTTCTCCACTTAATCAGTGAAGGAAAGATTCCAAGAGGTCTCATGAATAACTGAGAGAGAAGGCAGGACTTGACCCTGCCTGACCTCCTGCTTCCTAACCCAGGCCCCCCTGCTCTCTGGAGAACACGGCAGTATCTTTGGTTCTTGTGAACTCTCACTGTGGAGGATGTTTGCACTCAGGATTTGGACTTCATTCCTTCACCTTGATGTGGATTGCTTAGAAACATACACGTATGTATGTATGTATGTATGTATGTATGTATGTATGTATGTATGTCTCTAATTATACAATTAAAAAGGCTCTAAACCAGACACGGAGCATGCCTAAAACCCCAGTACTCAGAAGGTCACCACAAGTTTGTGGCCAGTCTGGTCTACACAGGGAGTTCCAGGTTAGCCAAGGTCTACACTCTGAGACACTGTCTCAAGAAGAAAGGAAGGAAGGGGATGCAGCCTGAATAAACATGCCATCACATCCTTCATCACCGTCAAGGAAGGGACTAAAATCTACCTCAAATCTAATGAAAAAATATTGTCATGAGCCTGGTGGTGGTGATACATGCCTTTAATCCCAGCACTCAGGAGGCAGAGACAGGTGAATCTCTGAGTTCAAGGCCAGCCTGGTCTACAGAGAGAGTTCCAGGACAGCTAGGGCGGTTACACAGAGAAACCCTGTCTCAAAAAAACAAAACAAACAAAAAAAAATCCTGTCACATTTCTCGGACAAATGGGGAAATAATGTTAACTGGGACTTATGGAGGGTTACGGTGTGGTGTGAGAATGTGCATTTTCAGAGGAGAATTCCAGCAGTTTCTCAGCTTCTGGAATCCTGACGTGGCATTTTACTGGCCACAGGCTTCAGTGGTGGGTAAGGACCCTCTGTCTGGATGTGCACACAGTACAGGTTGGTAGCAGCTTGTTGACTGTGCTTTGGAGGAGAGTCACTGTTAGCCAGCCACTGTTAGTCAGATGGGGTGGTTAAGGTCCCTTCCAATGATATCCTCCTCAGTCTTTCGTTTAAGTTCAAAAGGCACAGCGTGTTCACTTGTAATTATTTTCTCTTAGTGAGGAAAACATTTGGAAACTCTGTGAATACATCAAAACCCATGACCAGTATCCCTTGGAAGAGTGTTCCGCTGTCTTCATATCAAATGAGAGGAAGATGGTAAGTTGGTAAGTGATGACAGTGAAAATGAGGGTTAGGGTGACCTCAGGAGCTAAGTGCAGTATCGAAGCCATACTGTTCTAAAGTGTGCTTTGTCACGGCAGCCTTTCAAGCAGCTTTTTTTTTTTTCCCCATTAGATTTTATCCCCTTTCTTGATGGTGATGAAGGATGTGATGGCATGTTTATACAGGCTGCATCCCCTTCTTTCCTTTCTTTTTGAGACAGTGTCTCAGAGTGTAGACCCTGGCTGACCTGGAACTCCCTGTGTAGACCAGACTGGCCTCGAACTTGTGGTGACCTTCTGAGTACTGGGGTTATAGGCATGCTCCGTGTCTGGTTTAGAGCCTTTTTAATTGTATAATTAGATCCATAGAACTGATTCGAAGTAAAGATTTGTCTCTGAAGTTTGAATAGAGCGGAGTAAACTTTCATGGAGCACTAGAAGTGGCCCTTTGGGTTTTATAAAGCACCTTTGCAGGCATTGTCTCATTTGGGTTAATAAAAGTTCTGTGAAGTAGGAAAGGTTTAGACAACATTCTCTATTTTATTTTATTGACTTGACTTTTGTTTGGAGACATTTACCTAAGCCCACTAGCCTCACAGTCATTATGCAGCTGAGGCTGGAATTTCAGGCATGTACCGCCAAGACCTGCTAACTTTCCCCACTTATTCGGTGAAGAAGGAGATTCCGAGAGGTCTCATGAATAACTGAGAGAGAAGGCAGGACTTGACCCTGCCTGGCCTCCTCCTGCTTCCTAACCCAGGCCCCCTGCTCTCTGGAGAACACTGCAGTATCTTTGGTTCTTGTGAACTCTCACAGTGGAGGATGTTTGCACTCAGGATTTGAACTTCATTCCTTCACCTTGATGTGGATTGCTTAGAAACAAACATTTTTGATTTTAAAATTTAATTTGGTTAACTAATTTCTTTATCCTGAGATAGGGTCTCTCTATGTAGCCCTGACTGGCTTCAGACTCAGAGAGAACCACCCTACCTCTGCTTTTGAGTGTTAGGATTAAAGGTGTGTGCAACAATGCCTAGCTGTTTTTTTTTTTTTCCCAATGTGTACAGGTGTTTTGCCTGCATATATGCCTGTGTGTGTACCTGTGTGCACTGTGCCTACAGAGGCCAAGAAGAAGGGGTTGGATCCCTGTGGCCTGGAGTTACAGATGTTTGTCAGCTACCATGTGGATGCTAGGAACAAATCCTAGGTCTTCTGCAAGAGCAGCAAGCCCTATGAACTGCTATACCATATCCCAGCCCACCTAGGGACAGTCTATTGCTCACTGATGTATTGGTGTAGAGACTCTAGAAGGATTTGAATGAAACTCATGGATGTCCTGTATTTTGTAGGTACCTATTTGGAAACAGCAGGCAAGACCTGGGAATGGACCTGTGATCTGGGTAAGATGGCCACCTAAGAGCCTCTGATGCATTGTTCCTTGTGGCCTCTGAGTGACCAGTATGCTGTGGTAAAGCAGAATTGAAGGGATGCTAGAGAAAGCCTATGACAATTATCGATAAATGATCTTTTGAGAATGGATGTTATTCTGTCTGTGGTAAAGCACTATGGACATACATTTTTCCAACTTTTGCTTTGAGATCTGTAATGGTTTGTGTATGAAATATCCACTGCAGGCTTCTGTGTTTGATTTCCTGGTCCCTACCTGGTGATGCTGTTCTGTGAGGTTGTGGAACCTCTGAGACCTGAGGCCTAGCTAGTAGAAGTCTGTCACTGAGAATAGTGGGCCTTGCAGGTTGTACCTACTTCTGGCTATGGCCTCTGTTCTCTTATTCTCTGCCCCCCAGCCTGTCAGCATGCGAGGAACAATGGTCTCATATTCCTGCCGCCTTATGCCTTCCCTATAGGTTTGGTAGACTGTAGTTTCTTGTTGTGGGATATTTGTACACTGTGTGAAGGTGTATTGCTGTGATTGGTGTAATAAAAAGCCAAACAGCCAATAGCTAGGCAGGAGGTATAGGTGGGATTTCCGGGAAGAGAAAGGAAGAGAAGAAGTCAGGAGACACAGAGAGGAAATGGGGGTGGGGTGGGGTACAAGGTGGAAGAGAGATAAAGTCATGTGATAGAACGTAGATTAATGTAAATGGGTTAAGTCACGAGAGCTAGTTAGGAACAAGCCTAAGCTATAGGCCGAGCATTCATAATAAGAAGTCTCCGTGTCATTATTTGGGAGCTGGCTGGCGGGACAGAAAAAGACTCGTTGCAGTCTCTGAAACTGTGAGCCAAAATAAGCATTTCCTCACGTAAGTCGTTTCTGTCGGGTATGTGGTTATGGAACTGGGGGATGTTGACGAGGACAGATCACACAGGAAGTCTGAGACAGGCTCTCTGTGCAATCTTGTGTTGTGGAATATTACTCTAACTGGGCAAAGATGTGTTACATCTGTTATTGCTGCGTTTGTTTAAGTATGTGAAGACGTGTTGCTGTTTCACCTTGCCTGCCTAAGGCACCTGATTGGTCTAAGAAAGAGCTGACTGGCCAGTAGCTAGGCAGGAGAGGGATAGGCGGGGCTGGTGGGCAGAGGGAATAAGTAGGAGGAGGAATCTAGGCTCAAGAGGGTGGTGAGAGAGAAGAGAACCAGGGAGACACCCAGGGCTGTCCAGCCAGGCAGCTGCCAGACACACAGACATGGAGGGAGCAGTGAAAGTAGGACAGACAGAATGAAAGAAAGGTAAAAGCGCTGAGGCACTGAAGAGAAACAGGTTGCTGTTAGAGCTAGCAAGAAACAAGCCTAAACTAAGGCCGAGCATTCATAACTAACATTGTCTCCGCATCTTGACTTGAGTACTGGTTGGTGGCCCAGAGGAAGCCTGCTACAGTCTTGGCTGGCCTAAACCTTCTGTTTCTCCTGTCCTACCTCCCAAGTGCCGGGATTAAAGGCATAGGCCATCATGTCTGGCTTACAGTAATGTTTATAAATGTCCAGTGTAGGAGAAAAATTTCGTGATTTCCCTGTCTTGTACCCATTCTGCACTAGGAACTTTTCACATATAGCCTGGATGCACGTTTGGTTTAATCTGGAGACTGGTTAAAAGTCTAGGTACCGTGTTAGTTTATCTGGAGAGGGTTCAAGATTTAGTGTCCTCTTTTTTAATATTTAGTGTTTATTGCATGTATGTGTGCACGTGTGTGCGCATGTGCAGAGGTGAGAACACAGCTCGTGGCGTTGGCTCTCACTTGTTTTGTTGTTTTGTTGAGGTGCAGTCTCTTGGTTCTGCTGCTGTCCTGCAGACTCGAGGCTAGCTGGTCTGTGTGGTCCCGGGCCTGTTTCCCCCTCGCTGGATTACAGCCGTTCAACACCACATCCATAGGAGTGGAACTTGAGTTGTCAGGCTTCCGTGGCTAGTTCCTTTTCCTGCTGAGTCCTCCTCGGCTCAAGATTTAGTCTTCTTAGCTAATTCCTAGGAGAACGTGACTGGCAATTGAGGAACAGGGTTGTTGTGGTGGCGGGAATGTAAAGGTCATCAGGCCAGGGGAGGAAGAAGGCTATTTCAGGGAGAGCGGCTCTTGGCTCATCTGGATGGGGGAGTGCACTCATAGATTCTATCTCTGCTCTCTTTCTTTGGAGTCGGAGCTGAAGGGAGCATTCAGTATAGGGTGTTTCTAGTGTCGACTGTCTTTCCCATCTCACAGGTCACAGTGCTAGCATGCTGTGTAAACTGTGAAGTGCTGGAAGGATGTCAGCTGCCGCTAGCGTGAGAGCAGACTGAACAATCATTTCGGTGCGTTTTCTCCACGAGAGCATTTGTTCCTGGGTGTGAAGCACCAGCCTGCATACATGTCCCTTGAGAATGCCATGGTCCTCCTAGCCATTGGCTGGTGCTGGCAGTGCCTTGTGTCTGGGAGTGAGAGCAGGAGGTACAAGTAGCATCCATAGTTACCATCTGTAACCAAGCAGGGCTGTGGGAGCGGTCTTTATCTTTTCCTTTAATGGCTGCAGATGAGAGCTTGGTGATGTTTGGTTTTTTTCTTTTAATTAGAAAAGTAGGGGTTGGGAATTTAACTCAGTGGTAGAGCACTTGCCTAGCAAGCACAAGGCCCTGGGTTCAGTCCTCAGCTCTGGAAAATTAAAAAATAAAAAATAAAAAAAAGTAATAAAAATTGGAAATTAGTGTCCTCTCCAGACTAACCTCAGGAAGACCCCACTGTTTTTGCAGTTGGGGGGGGTGTCAATCGCTCTTTGTCATTGTAACTAATACACGAAGTGAATCACCGTAGAGGAAAGTTTTATTCTGTGCTCAGTTTCTGGTTTCAGTCCATATTGCTTGGCTCTGTGTGTTTGCGTCTGTGGCGAGGCAGGGACACATGGTGGGCAGAGCTGTTTGTCTCACGGCCAAGGAAGGAGAGAAAGAAGAGGAAGTGCTGGGCTCCCAATGCCCCCTTCAAGGCTGAGCCCCCAGTGTCCAGAAGACTTCTCTCTAAGGGCTCAATATATAGTTCTGGCTGGCCAGGAGCTCTCCGTGTACATCAGGCTGGTCTCGGACTCAGAGATCCACCTGTCTCTGCCCCTTGAGTGCTGGGGTTAAAGTGTGTGTCACCACTGATAAGTAAAGGCTTTAACACATGGGCTGTCGTGGGACATTGAAGATCCAAAGTGTCGAAGAAGATGCCTTTGTAGACTCCTTCTGAATTCATATGTGTGAATGCGTATATACATTTGAATTCACGTGTGTGTCTTCGCGCAACCAAGCTTTAAAATATAACACAAAATACAGCTATGTCCCACAGTCAGTTTTTCCGTTCAGTTACAGAACATGGGATATCACATGACAGCGGGTCAAACACTGTCGTTGTTTAGCCATTTTCCAATCACTGGGCGTTTTTCTGTTTGGGGGGTTGTGTGTTTTATTATTTTATTTTGCCATTACAAGGAGGCTGATATTAGCCCGGCAGCTGCTTTCCCGCTGATGCTTGTGCGCTGATCCTGCAATGTTGGAATTGACTGTCCTGCACTAACTGGGTTAACCTCAGTGATTGTTATTCCTAGGATTATCATGTCGTTCTGCTTCATGTGTCAAGTGAAGGACAGAGCTTCATTTATGATCTTGATACTATTTTGCCATTTCCCTGCCCTTTCGACATTTACGTAGAAGATGCCCTTAAGTCTGATGATGACATTCATCCACAGTTTAGGAGGTGAGGAAATTCAGTACTAAGGTACTGATTTTCTGACGTAAGACTTGGTGATTATGCAGAAGTCATCCCCCCTCCCTCTCTGTCCCTCCCCCCTCCTTTTCTCAGTCTTTCCCTTTCTTTTCCTCTCTCCTCTCCCCTCTTTGTCTCCGTCCTCCTATTTCTGCATTACTGGTGTGCCTGCTGTACAAGAGCTTAAGCGTATCTTAAAACTCTAAAGGCTCTGTATCATATGAAAGACGGTATTATAAACATGAGCGTGATGAGGGCCAGCCAGGACTGAGGCCCTGACTTCCATGCCTGGGATTCACATGGAGGAAAGAGAGAATTGATGTCTGTAGATTACCTCTGACCATGCACACATGGTCACACACACACATACACATTCACACACACACTCAAATGTGTTTTTTAAAAAAAAGTGAGTGTGAAGATATTCCCAACATTTTCTTTCAGTTGTGTTGAGAATTTTTGTCTTGATTGCTGGATCGTGGCTAGAGCTAATGCCAAACTCAAGAAAATTAAAAGGCAACAACAAAAATCTTATCCTTTGCCCCAATGTGCAATTAATTGAGTAAATAAAAACCACGATTTACTCCTGTACTTTCATAGCTTTGGGTTCCAGTCATTTCCTTCAGCTTGCTTAATAGGTAATCAGCCATGTAGATGTGTATGCATTAGTAACAATGCAAAAATTCTTGAGTAGTTTTGTGCACATCATAGAAAGGGTCCATTGTAGGAATGAGTTAGAATGCCAGCCGTGATATCTCTCTGATATAAGTGTATGTTGATTTATCTGCAGGAAATTTAGAGTGGTCCGTGCTGATTCCTACTTGAAGAATTTTGCTTCTGACCGGTCTCACATGAAAGATTCCAGTGGGAACTGGAGAGAGCCTCCTCCAGCGTACCCCTGCATTGAAACTGGTGGTGAGACAAGGGTGTCCTTCCAGGGGTTTCTGCCTGGTTACTGCTCAGATCAGCACTCCCCTTAGTCAGTTTTTGGATGCACTCCCTGAGTGGTGAGGATAAGTACAAGCACGAGCTCTCTGTTTCCTAGATTCAGAAATCGAGGTGCAGAAAACAGGACTGGAGGGCAGAAGCACTCTTGGGGAGAATAAATGCTGGGGAACAGAGCCGTGACCGTAGCAAACTGCTCGATTATTGGGTACATCTGCTGGGATTCTGGCATCACATCTGTGTGTCACCCAACAGCGCTATCAGTAGCACATTGCCATGGTGGGGTTTCACGTACTGGTAAAAGACATCCCCAGTGCGTCCTTCTGCGTGGGAAATGCCAGTTTAGTAACCTCGTAATAAACCGGCAGTAAGAGAGCTTTATCACACCACTTGCTTCCTCCTGTGCTTCTAGGCAGCCATCCAGTTGAGAATGCCTTGAGAGCTCAGATCATAGCAGGTTACTGTTGCTCGGCATTCGCGTGCTTTTGAAACATTACCTGTGATTGTAAGTCATTCACAGCATTCCACTTAGGGGTGAGATCATCCCATCCTGTGGCTAACGCAGTCCACAGGAAAGAGCCCTGCAGGCTCTGTGGGACTCTGCAGAAACAGAGCAGGGGCACCACTAGCTCTTGGAGGAAGAAAGCAAAAAATATTTAGCGTATTTGAAGGGGGTGAACACTGAAAGAGGGTTCTGCCTGAGTTTTGAGTCTCTCAGTGAGAAGCTTCATAATGAAAGAAAACCCCAAACAACCCCAAACTGTGTGATTGCTTTCCCGTATCCCATCTGCTTCCCCGCTTGCACATTGGAACTATGAAAACAGTGTTAGGAGAGGGCTTCCTGGGTCTACCTCATTGTCTCAGGTGCCCCGCTACACAGGGGCTAGCCTGGACACACAGTGCCTTCAGCAGGCACCCATTTCTCTTATAGATGTGGATTCTCACAGCCCAGTACATGGTAGGTAATCAGCACATGGAACCTTCTCAGGATCTGGTCCTTTTTGGCTCAGTCCTTTGGCTTGGATGGCAGCTCATTCGGTGTCATTACTCACTTTGTGCCAGGCTTTGGTTAGCTTCTGCACATATAAATGTAATTTATACTGTGATCTGGGTGCTGGGGCTCACACCTGGCTCCTCTGCAGGAACAAGTTCTCTTAACCACTGATCTGTCTTTCCAGCTACTCCTATTTATTTGTTTGCTTTTTTATTTATTTTAGATAGGATCTCATTATGTATTTATCCCTGGCTAGTCTGGAACTCACTGTGTAGACCAGGCCAGTCTTTCTTTTTTCTTTGTAAAAGTCAAAATATATTTGTATTTATTGAGCTAATGGATGTATTTTTCCTGAATTGTTTTTGTCTTTGTTAGTTGATTGGGATAAAAAAAAAAAAAAAAAGAAAAAAAAAACACAAAAAACAGGTTATAATTTAAAAAACCAGGGTTATTTTAAACAGTAAAATATTTTCTCTGTAGAAAATAGTATAAATGATAACATTTCCCAATAAGCCCTTTTAAGCCAAATGATAGCTGAATTATACATATAAATATTGATTAGACTCTGGGATACAGAAGAAACCTATCTTCATCTGTTCAGAGATCTATGTTTTACTTAAGTTGTGTAAGTGAGATTCATCTTCCTATTCATCTTCCCCTTCACTGTTTGATTTATGGTAAACATTTTTCTATAGGCTAATCCATAATCTATAAAGATTTTAGCCTCCCCTCCTGAAAGTATGGCCAGCTTTTTCTTTCATCAGCTTAATACAGTATAAATTCTTATCCTAATAGTGAAATGTTTCACTAAAGCTTGCTCAGTGATTGGGTAAAACCAAAACTTATTATAAGCCACAGTTATCCTAGGGTCCCCCCCTGCTAGGTAGCCTCCCTGGAGCTGTGGGTTGCAGTCTGATTGTCCTTTGCTTTATATCCACTTATGAGTTAGTACATACCATGTTTGTCCTTCTGAGTCTGGGTTACCTCACTCAGGATGATATTTTCTAGTTCCATCTATTTGGACCAGGCCAGTCTTAAACTCATAGAGATCTGCCTGCCTCTTCTTCCCCAGTGCTTGGATTAAAGGTGTTTGCCATCATGCCTAGCTCTTTTTGTTTTTGTTTTATGACTCAGGGGCCAGAAGAAGGTGTTGGGTCCCCTGGAACTGGAATTATAGATGGTTGTGAGCTGCATGTGAGTGCTGAGAACTGAACCTGGGTCCCCTGCAATGGCAGCCAGTGCTTTTAACCACTGAGCCATCTCTCCCACCTCCTTAAGAGTCTTTTTTAATATGTACATTGCTCGCCCAGCTCTTTCCTTGCCATTTATTAGTCGAAGACACCAGGAACAGTTGTGACAGCTTGCAGTTGGCTGACTGTGTCCCGCTTGCCCCTCTGAATTGCCTGTAAGTTGCCCACTGAAGCTTGGAAATTGACAGTTTGATTATGCATGCACCCTTTGTATAACCTTTTATTTTAAAGAATTTTAGACTTCTTGAAAATTTGTTAAATAGGACAGAGTTCTTATATAACCCTCCCTCAGATTCCCTTGGTGCTAACTCTCTTTTTGGTTTTTCAAGATAAGGTTCCTCCGTGTGTATCCCTGGCTGTTCTGGAACTCGCTCTGTAGACCAGGCTGGCCTCAACCTCAGAGATCCACCTGCCTCAGCCTCCCAAGTGCTGGGATTAAAGGCGTGAGCCACCACTGCCTAGCTAAGCTGGCTAAGTCTTCTTCTTCTTCTTTTTTTTTTTTTTTTTTTTTTTTTTTTGGTTTTTCAAGATAGGGTTTCTCTGTGTAGCTTTGCGCCTTTCCTGGAACTCACTCTGTAGCCCAGGCTGGCCTCGAACTCACAGAGATCCGCCTGTCTCTGCCTCCCGAGTGCTAGGATTAAAGGCGTGCGCCACCACTGCCCCCCCCCCTTAAGATGTATTTATTTTTAAATTTTTAATGTGTATGGGAGTTTTGCCTGCATGTGTGTCAGTATACCATGTGTGTCCCGTGCCCAGTCAGAAGAGGGCATTGGATCTCCTGGATCTGGAGTCTCAGATGGTTGTAAACTACCATGTGGGATATTGGGATGATCTGGAAGAACAGCCAGGCTCTTAGCTGCTGTGTCTTCATTTGGCTATGTCTTCATTTCCTTGGTAGTAACCATAATATGTAACCATAGCATAGTCACCAAAGAGAAAGAAGAAAGCAATGCAGAAATACTGCTGTGGTATATGAAAATAACCACGATAAAACCGTTTGGTTTTTCAGGGCTTCTCATTCATTTATTTCTGGTACAGAATCTAACTCGGGTATGACATTTAGTGGTCATTTTTTGTTTCCTTTAGTCTGTGACAATTTCCTATCTTTGCTTTTTCTTGTACAACCTTATATTTGTAAAGACTGCTGTCCATCTGCTCAGTGGCATCTGCTCAGTGGAGCATCCCTTAGGCCGATGTGGTGCTTGTCTTGAAGAGCACTGTATGTTTGAGACAAGAACACTGCAGGAGTGATCTTGAACTCTTGCTCACTTTAATGGGTTCCTCATCCCTTAGGTTTCTGAGTTCTTCTGTGGCCGCTGACCTGAAATTTGTTTCAGCAGACGTTTCTTTCATGTTCTTTTCTAGACTCCAAAATGAACCTGAATGACTTCATCAGCATGGATCCCGACATAGGATGGGGAGCTGTCTACACGTTACCTGAGTTTGTACATCGGTTCAGCAGTAAAAGCTGCTGAGCCTGAGGCTAGCATGTGGAACTGGAAAAGTTCTAGGATATGAATAAGCCATCCTTGCATTTAAGAGAACAGCATGGTACAGGTGGTTTGGAGGTATATTTTTTCAATTAAATTTGAGTGGAAACATTAATGAACACAAATATAAATGAATGCCCCCTCCCCGCTTTTTTTAGCTTGGGAATCTATCCTGGAGTTCTATCTCCAACCCTAAATCAGTCAGTCCCCAGTCTCAGACATAGACAGACAAGTAAAATAAAAACTTTCTTATTAATGATATGCCACACACGGTATAGAGTTGCTAAGATATTCCCATGACTTATGTGTTTAGATATATGATGACCTAGGCCAGCAATTGCTTTTGTTAAACTACAAGTATGGACTTGGAGCCAGCTCCTCTGGTCTGCTCTCTCTGCTTCCTGTCCGGCTAGACTCTAAACTCCTTGAGCACAGGGCTGTGGCCTGTGGCTCTGAGAATCTCTGTCGCCCATTAGAGGTACCTGTAAAATGTTCCAGAGACAGCTCTGCTGCTCGGAAAGGACAATATTGTGAGCTGAATCAGCTATAAGTATTAGTCTTTTTGGACTATGGTGTTTAAAAAAGTTGCAGATATTTTGACTGAGTGTGATTTGGCCCATTTATATGCATAGTTTTAAATAAAACTGACTTAACATTAGTTTTGTGGCTTTTTTTTCTGAGGTGGAGTTGGGCAGTGTTGGTGATTGAATTGTATATGTGACAAGTACTGTATCATTGAGGTGCTCAGGTCACTCTTTATGTGTGTGTGTGTGTGTGTGTGTGTGTGTGTGTGCGTGCGCATGCACGCACGTACGTACGTATGTACGTACGTACATTCACAAGTACATGCATAGGCCAGAGGTTGATGTCAAGTATCTTCCTTAATGACTGTCCTTATTTTGGGGGACAGGGTCTCACTGGGTAAACTGGCTGTCTAGTAAGCTCTGGGAGACTCCTCATGTGTCTGTCTCCTCAGCATGGGGTTATAGGCACATGTTGCCTTGCTTGGCTTTATGTGTGAGTTGGGGATTGAACTCAGGGCCACATACTTATGTGGCAAGTACTTCACTGACGGCCATCTTTCCTGTCCCCTGTGTGTCACTCTTGATCAGAAATACCTAAGAATGTCTCCGTCATAGATGAAAACCAATACCTTAAAATACATTTAGCACACCTGCCTTCTTGGAGATGCCTTAGAAATTTGACGTTAGTCTGATAATTTTAAATAAAGATTTTGTATGAAAGATGAAAGGTATAGTTATAATGTCTCTCACTTGTGGTTCTGCTGTAAAATTAAAGACAATTTTTTTTTAAAAACACTCTGTCTCAAGACATGGGCTGGAACATAGGCTGGCCTTGTATTCCCTGTGAAGTCTGAGCTGGTGTTGAACTCATTGCATTCCTCCATGTGCACACTTACATAAATAATCATAAAGTATTTTTTAATTCAATTAATTTTTTTATGTGGGTGCTAGGACTAGAACTCAGTTTCTGAGGTTTGCACAGCACATAGTTTACTGACTAAACCACCTTCCCAGCCCCAGAACAGGACAGTTGTGATTTTAATTTGGGCCTGAAAAGAATGTCTAGTACAAGGAGAGCAAGATGGCTCAGTGGGTACAGCCATTTGCAGTCAAATCTGATGACCTAAGTTCAGTTCCCAGAAATCACATGCTAGGAGGGGAGAATTGAGGTTTAGAGACTGTCCTCTGACTCCTCCCCCACCCCCCCAACACACACTAAAATAAAAAAAGAAAGACAAGTGTGTCTAATACACATCAGTAATATCTGTATGGATGTTTGAACTTTCCAGTTGCCTCGAAATTGAAAATCCCTATGGTAGCCATTTTCAGGAGAAAATTTGTATGGCTTCAAGCCTGTAAAACTACCCCGTTCATAATCTTGATTCCTTAGAGGCAACAGAAGACATTTGTTCTTTTTCTTGTTGTTTTTCCTAAACTCCTGAAATAACCTCATGGACTCTCAGAGGTCCTGCTGGCCCCTGGGTATGGGCACATCACTTGAGCCCTTGGCTTCAGCCCCACCCGGGTTACGTTTAAGAATGACCAGATGTTCTGTGGATTGATTGGTGTTCAGAGAGCAAGTCTCCCTCCCTTGGAATTGCTAACTAGGGGCCTGGAGGCTTGGGGTGTCGCTTGACTGCCACAGGTCTGGCTGCAGCATTCAGGCATGCAGAGGACTGCAGGAAGCCTGAGGAGATTCCTCAACTGTAGCAGTCTGTGCTTGGAGTCAGCACCAGTTTCTGAACCTCCCCGTTCTGTGAACCAGTGCCCCCCCCCCCACGCTCCTGTAGCCATTACTGTACTGAACTTGTGCCTGCCTTCCTGACTCTGCCTCTCAAGTATTTCGATTATCCATAATCCACTACTGCGCCCAGCTTGGTTTCTGTCAGTTCTAACTAAAACAAGGGTTCCTTAGGAGATCCCTCCCTCCTCCTTTCTTCCTTCTCTCTCCGTCTCCGTCTCTGTCTATTTCTTATTTATTTGTAATCGTTTTTTAAAATGTCGTTATCAGCCCCAGAACTGCTCCATGTGTGTTTTTCTGTATTAGGTTTTTTTGTAAGGTCAGATTGTTTTGTTTTGCTTTGCTTTTGAGTCCAGGCCTAACTCTGGAGCTCAGGCTGGCGTGGAACTCCCTATGTGGCCCAGCCTGGCCTGGAATATATGGCGATTCTCCTGTCTCAGCCTCCCAACTCTTGGGATTATGGACGTGAGTCACCATGTGTAGCTTGGGAACAGGAATGTCCAGTCCCCACCCCTCTGGCTCTCTGGCCAGTGCTGGTGAAGGGCTGCTGGATTCTTGCTTTTGAATCGCGTATCCAGTTACTTTTGAATCACTGTGACTAAGCTCCAGCGTCACAATTTAAGGGATGAAGGGCCATGGCTCATGGTTTCAGTACATCCTGGCAAAGAAAGGATGATGGATCAGGAAACAGAATGCACCAAGCCATGGCAGTAAAACCTTCAGAGACCTGCCCCAGTAACCTGCATCTGCCAGTGAGGCCCTCCAGAAGGTTCCATAGCTTTCCAGTTTAGCACCGCCAGCTGGGAAACAAGCACTCAGACACTAGCCTGTGGGAGATATCTTAGGTTCAGATAGTAACATCTCAATTCTGTTTCTTTTTTCCAAACTTAGGCCATCCTTTTCCAGACAGGTTCTTAAGGCCTTAACTCTAAGCTTTATTCTACCTATTGGTGTGGAAACATGTTATAAGTAACTTTTGCAGGTAGCATAGAACACCAGGAATTGACTTCATTACTTTAATTCTTCCATTCTTGGTAAGCATCTAATTCCAGCTCCTGGTCAAAAACCTGGGTGTAAAGTCTCTTGTCTTGTGTCTCCTACTGAGGCTAGGCACTCACGGACACAATGCACTCTCCCTTTCCTTTAAGCTAAGCAGACAGCCCAGTGCTGGAGGGAGAACTGTCTTTTACTCTCTCAGTCCACAGAGACTGTGGCTGTGCCCATAGACTGTTTAGCAGGTGTCTCAGGGAGCCTGGCTTTTAATAGTACCCGTTCTTATCAAGGGAGGAGTATTGGCAACATTACACTTGAGTCCGTAGACAGCCCTTCCTGAGGTTTCCATGGGGACCTGAGGTTTAGAACAATTTCTGGGAAGAACATTGGGAGCAGATTGAAGGGCGGGATGTTAATACTGTGTTGGCATGCGTCTTTCCTGCAGACGTGGATTATTGATGAGTCGCTCCATTTAGTACCCACAGAGCTGCTTCATTCAAGCTCTTTGCGACCAGATGCTGAGATCTTGTCTGTGTACTCAGATTACAAGAAAAAAAATTCTCTATCAGTTGTACCTCTCCATGACTGCTTGATATTTGCTAGTTGAGGAAGCCTCCTGACCTCCCTGGGCTGCCTCACCCGGGAGAGTTGTTTTGAGACTTAAATGAGACTGTGTAGGAGGGGGGAGGAAGAAGAAAGAGAGGAGAGAGAGAATGGTTCCTATTCCGAAAGGCAATTTTGTATTTCATTTTTGTATTTTTGGTGTGTGTGCATGTGTGTATGCATGTTCAAATGTGGGTGTGCGGGCGGAGGCCTGATGTTGATGCCGAATGTCTTCCTTGATCTCTCTCCACTTGACTTACTGAAGCGCCATCTCTTGTTGAATCTGGTGCCCGCCAGTCCTGGCTAGAGGTTTCCTCACCTCTGCCTCCCTACTGCTGGCATTACAGGTTGCTTTTACGCCTGCCCAGCTTTTAGGTGGGTTGTGGGATCCAAATTCTTGTTGGTCCTTATCTTAGGATCTCTATTGGCTGTGATGAAGCCTCATAACCAAAAGCAACTTGGGGAGAAAAGGGTTATTACAGTTTCCATATTATAGTTTATCATGGAAGGCAGTCCAGGCAGGAATCGATGCAGAGGCCATGGAGGGGTGCTGTTTACTGGCTTGCTCTGCATGTACAACTTTATGCCAGAAAAGGGCATCAGATCCCCTTACAGATGGTTGTGAACCTCCATGTGGTTGCTGGGAATTGAACTCAGGACCTCTGGAAGCCAGTGCTCTTAACCACTGACCTATCCCTCCAGCCCTCAGCCTGCTTTCTTACAGAACCCAGGGCTACCAGCCCAGGGGTGCCCCACCCACGATGGGCTGGGCCCTCCGCCCCTTAATCACTAATTAAGAAAATGCCCTCCAGGCTGGCCGACAGCCTGATCTTATGGAAGCAATTTTTCAGTCGTGGTTCCCTTCACGGATATCTGTAGCTTGTGTCAAACTGACATAAAACTGGTTCAGTAAATCCTCATTGCTTGTGTGGGCCTGGTGAGTCATCTCTCCAGCCTAGATAAAACACTTTGAGTAACCAGTAAACAGTTGTTGGTTAGCTCTTTTAAGCTGTGATGAGCATCAACTTATTTAATCTTTAATCCTTAAACTATAGCATAAGACTCTATCATTTTCTCCCTGTTGGAGAGCGGAAAGCCGAGGCACAGGAAGGTAAGATAACTTATCCAGAGCTACACACGTGGTGACAGCTTCAGGGCACGTGGGTTACCATTTGATCCAATTTCTAGGTTGTCCAATCCCTAGTTTTTTGCTTTGATTAAAAAATACATATTTTATTATGTGTATGAGTGTTTTGCCTACAAGTATGTCTGTACCATATGCATGCCACGCCCATAGAGACCAGAAGCAGGCACCTGGAACTGGAGTTACAGATGGCTGTGATCCATCGAGTGGGTTCTGGGAATCAAACCCTGGTCCCCTCAAGAGCAATGAGTGCTCTTAACTGCTTAGCTCTCTCTCCAGTCTCTCAGTTCTTCTTTACATTCTGTCATCAAACTCCACCAATGGCGTCAGCTACTTAATGGCACATGCCTTGTAATCTCCGCAATTTGAGTTGGAGGCAGGGACATCAAGAGTTCAGAGTCATTCCTGCCTGCACAGCAAGATGACAGTCTATGAGACTCTTCAAACCCCCCAAAACATCTTTCTAAGAGAGATGTCTTTCTCCAGCATCCATGTGAAAGGTGGGTGTGATAGTTCATGTCTTTAGCCCCAACATTGGGTGTGTAGAGACAGGCGGATCCTAGGGGCCACCTAGCCTGACTGAAATTGCTAGCTGCAAGTTCAGTTAGAAACTCTGTCTAAAAAACATAAACTGGGGGGGCGGTGGTGGTGCA